TTTTATTTTTTTTTCATCTCTCTACTTTCCGTTTTCTATAAATAGTGCTTCGACGCTCACACGACTGTGAAAATCAGTTCAGTTCCACAGACGTTAATTTTTCCACAGTGCGGTTACGGAAGTTTTTCTGGTAAGTTAATTGATGTGGTTTGCTGGCGGTATTTCGGTGTTTTTTTTTAGGGCTTTTGGTGTTTTCGGTTTTCAAAATCTGATTTTTATGTTTTCTGAAGCAGTTTGTGGCTTAATCAGAGTTCGTGAGATGGTGAAAATGGTAGTTTGGGGTACACTAATCTTTTGAGTAGGTAATGCATTAGATCTCTGCTTTTGGTACTATTCTTATGCTTGCGTTTTTTTGTGCAGGCTCTGTCTTGAGCACCGTCTTAATTTTTTTTATTTTTTATTTTTTTTTTGAAATTTATGGCAGCATTTATTAGATAAGTAGCGAAATTATAGATCTCGACTGTGGAAGAGTTTGGAAAGAATTTAAGGAGAATAAATTGCATTACGGAGCAGAAAAAAATACAAAAGAGATGGGAGAGAAGAGTTTGGACTCGGAGCTGTGGCACGCCTGTGCTGGTGGCATGGCTCAAATGCCGCGGGTGAACTCAAAGGTTTTCTACTTCCCACAGGGCCACGCTGAGCACACTCTTGCTACTGTTGATTTTGGGGCTCTGCCCAAAATCCCACCTATGATCCTCTGCAGGGTTGATGCGGTGAGGTACTTGGCCGACCCTGAAACCGATGAAGTTTATACCAAGATATGTCTGGTTCCAGTCGGCAAAAGCGAGCAGCACTGTTTTGATGACGACAGTGTGCCGGGAAACACAGGATCTGCACCTAATGAGAAACCGAATTCGTTTGCAAAGACTCTCACCCAGTCGGATGCCAATAATGGCGGCGGGTTCTCGGTCCCTAGGTACTGTGCGGAGACCATTTTCCCTCGGCTGGACTACACAGCCGATCCACCCGTGCAGAATGTTATAGCCAAGGATGTCCATGGTGAGACCTGGAATTTCAGGCATATTTATAGGGGGACTCCCAGGAGGCACCTGCTGACCACCGGGTGGAGCACGTTTGTGAACCAGAAGAAGCTTGTGGCTGGGGACTCAATTGTTTTCCTGAGGGCCGAGAATGGGGACCTCTGTGTCGGGATCCGGAGGGCTAAGAGGGGCAATGGTGCAAATGAGCTTTCCTCCGGGTGGAACTGTGCTGCTGCTGGGAATTTTGGATTTTCGTCATTTCTGAAGGACGACGAGAACAAGCTGATGCATAGGGGTTTTGGTGGTGGTGGGAGTTTGAGGGAGAAAGGGAGGGTCAGACCTGAGTCTGTTGTCGAGGCCACTTTCCTGGCGGCCAGTGGCCAGCCTTTTGAGGTGGTATATTACCCACGTGCGAGCACGCCAGAGTTCTGTGTGAAGGCGTCAACTGTGAGTGCTGCTATGAGGAACCAGTGGTGCTCGGGGATGAGGTTCAAGATGCCGTTTGAAACTGAGGACTCATCCCGGATTAGCTGGTTCATGGGGACTATAGCGTCCGTTCAGGTTGTGGACCCCCTCCGTTGGCCGAACTCACCTTGGAGGCTGCTTCAGGTAATGCACAATAATTATTGTGATTCTCGAGATGTAATATGAGATTAGTTTATTTTTTTTTCCTTCTAATTTTTATGTAGAGACTAGTCACCTGGCTGCTGATTTGTCCTGTTTGGTTTATTTGTATTTTGTTCAACTCTATATTTTTTCTTGTTAATTAGAAACTTTTGTGTTATTTTTTGGATTCAGTAAGCTACTGCAAATGTTGAACTAAACCACTTGACGAAAATAATATGCAACGCAATGCTCGAAAGATCACATTAACCTTTAATAGACACCTTACATCATTACAGAGAACAATGAGAAGTCTGGTTTGTTCGCACGTATATTGCAACAACGTAATTTTGGGTGGAGATGATAAAATTGGCTGTTATGTTTTTTGCTTAATTTATGGAAAATTTTCTTACTGTTTTTTCCTCCAAAATTTTGCAGGTTACATGGGACGAACCTGACCTTCTGCAGAATGTGAAGTGTGTGAGCCCATGGTTAGTTGAGATGGTCTCTAATATGCCTGTCCTCCATCTCTCTCCCTTCACCCAACCTAGAAAGAAGCTCCGTCTACCCCACCATCAGGACATCTCCCCACTCGACGGCCAACAATTCCCAGTGCCGTCCTTCTCAGGCAACCCCTTAGGCCCTAGCAGTCCCTTATGTTGTTTTTCAGACAGCAACCTACCTGCAGGCATACAGGGAGCCAGGCATGCTCAATTTGGAGCCCCGTTTTCGGATCTCCACCTCATCAACAACACGCTACAGATGGGGCTGTTCCCCCCCGCTTTCCAGCGTCTTGACTCTCAAATCATAGTTCCCAATAATCTGGCAAGAACCAATTTGGACAACAGTGAAAATGTATCCTGCTTGCTTAGCATGGGAAATTACAGTCAGAAGAAATCGGGTGAAACGGCCCACGGTGTCAAGAAGCCTCTGTTTATACTATTTGGCCAGCCGATACTCACCGAGCAGCAGATGTCGTGCGACTGGTCGGATGATGTTGTTTGTAAAACCGAAAATAATGCAAAGGCATCCTCAGGTCCCCAGTTCGTTTGGAAGACGGGCGAACTTGGCCCGGATACCGGTCACTGCAAGGTGTTTTTGGAGTCTGAAGATGTCGGCCGGACACTTGATCTGTCCGTGCTGGGATCATATGAGGAGCTCTGCAAGAGGCTTGAGCACATGTTTGGGATAGAAAATTCGGAGATGCTGAGCCACGTCTACTATTGTGATGTAATGGGTGCTGTTAAACAAGTTGGAGATGAACCCTTCAGGTGAACATTGAACTAGGCTTTTATTTAATAAACATCTATGCATATCCTGATTTTCCATTTCGAGTTAATTAGAAAAAGTTATATGTTAAAACTGCAAGTGTCACCATAACACATTAGTACCTCTTCAGTTGGACAGAAGTGGTTTTTTTAGTTTTGAAATATAATTATGTTAATTGTTTATAATTGATGTAAGCTCCTTCTAACTATCCCTTCTCATTTATTTACATGTTTGACCAATTCTCGGTTGCTGCAGTGAGTTTGCAAAGACAGCTAAAAGATTGTCTATTCTTATAAAACCGAGCAATAACGGTGCCGAGAGGTAACTTCTTTGCTGATTGTTCAATTTTATGGTTTTATGATTTGTCCATATTAATCTATGGCGTCACTACGTCTTCTATTAATTCTTGTTGAGGCCATTGTATCGTCAAAATCCTTGTTTTAATCTTAAATTTCATTTTAAAGGGAGTTAAAAATCATTTAGCTGAAAGTTTTTTCAAGATTTTTCATCAGGAAGTTGATTACTGGTTTGCCGACTGCTGAGCGTGGGCTGGATTCCTCAAACCAGACGGGGCCGTTGAGCATATTTGCATAGTTGAAGCATATGAGGCAAATGTAGGAAATTGCAAAGAATGTCTGTGGACACTCCTTTTGTACTTTCTTCATTCAATCATGTGAAGTTGTGCAATATCTCCATTGTCTAGCGCTGGTTTATCTTTTAATGTAATTTGAACTACTAAATGTAATGCCTAAATGAGTGTAGCCAAAATGAAACACTAGTACATTTGGTGCCTTCCTTAATCCATGAATTTACGTTGTACGATTTCACACGACCGTGTGCTGCTTTATTTCTCTGACGTGCTGTGCTTGTGATTTTCTGATTTTACTCTACTCATAAATAAGATGCCATGATAACGAGTTTGGGAGATTCTACGACGAGATTTGTAACCGTTAGATCAACTATCCACGATGATTACATGATAATTTAACGGTTGCAAATCCCGACAGAATGGTTTCATAACGGGACTGCGGCCGACTTTGCTTTTCTTTTTGTTGGAAATTTAAAAGTGGAGCAGCCATATTGTGATTTCCTTGTTTTACTCATACTGGCCAATTGTTTTCAATTTTTTTGAAAATGGTCAAAGAAAGATAAAT